AGTTGGTGAGTACTTCCAGGCCTCTTTACGCTGACGAGGGGTCGTTGGCTTTACAATGTAGCTCCTCTTCGCTACCCTGATCTCCCTCGTCAGTGTGTTTGTGGTCTGGTTGTACAGGATCCTGTCCCCACTTCTGTAGGCCTCCTCCTTGGCCCGACGAAGCTGCCTGAGTCTTGCAGTGAACCAGGTTTATTGTTGTTATACATGCAGAAGGTTTTAGTCGGCACACACATGTCCTCACAAAGACTGATGTATGATGTCACAGTGTCAGTGAGCTCATCCAGGTCTGTAGCAGCAGCGTCACAAACACTCCAATCAGTGCAGACAAAGCAGGACTGTAGCTCCAGCTTTGCCTCGTTGGTCCATCTCTTCACAATCTTCACCACAGGCTTTGCAGAGTTTGGTTTCTGCCTGTAGGTCTGGAGAAGATGAACCAGGCAGTGATCAGAGAGTCCCAAAGCTGCATGGGGTGCTGAGCGATATGCATCCTTCATTACAGTGCAGCAGTGGTCCAGTCTGTTTTTGTCCCTGGTGCTACACTTTATATGCTGTCTGTATTTAGGCAGTTCTTTGCTGAGCTTTGCTCTGTTGAAGTCCCCAAGAACAATGAGCAGGGAGTCTGGGTGTTTGTGCTCCGTGTTGGTGATCTGCTCGGCCAGGTGTTGGAGCGCCTCACTCACACAGGCCTGAGGATGTAGACACCGACCAGAATGAACGAGGAAAACTCCCGCGGTGAATAAGAAGGTTTGCATGATTCCTTTGACACTGTGACATCTATACACCAGCCTTCGTTTATGTAGAAGCAGATTCCTCCTCCCCTCGTTTTCCCCGACAGCGCCGTTACGCGGTCCGCTCGGAGGAGTTGGAAGCCCGGCAGATGTAGTGCGCTGTCCGGGATGTGCTCACCGAGCCAGCTTTCAGTGAAGCACAGGGCGGCGGATCTGCTAAAGTCTGTTTACTTTGTTGAGGAGCAGCAGCTCATCCATCTTGTTGGCTAGAGAGCGGACGTTCGCCAGATGGCTTGACAGGAGCTCAGTTTTGAGTCTCCGCTGCTCCTCCAACTAAAAGCTCTGTAAAACTTTCCGGTTCGATGAAAAAGTTTGACCGTTGGATTGTCTGATGTTTAAAAGTTCCTCCCTGCTGAATGTGATCAGAGAGGGAGAGGCATATATACATGTTTGACCAGGTTTAGTGAAATGCACTCTGGGAGTCATAAAAAAGACAAAAAAACCTTTTCAACATCTCTATTTCCTCTCCCTCTGTCCTTGTATCCTCTGTCCTCAGGTGATGAGATGATGGGTTTCATTGCCTTTTTATATTTCCTGATCAATGATTATTGATCTTGTGTATTTTCTGATTATTGATCGTCAGATGGCCAGGTGAGGAGGAGGAAGAGGAGGTCTGGGTTGAGGAGGTGTGACTTCACTGAAGGATGGGTGGAGTTCAGAGATAAACGATTGGCCAAGAAGGTGGTGTCTTCTCTCCACAACACGCCTATGGGAAGCAGGAAACGCCAACGATTCTCCTCCGACCTCTGGTCCATCAAGGTACAGTCTGCTCGGTAACCCATGACATCACAGGAATACTGTGACATCACAGTCATGGTTGCATCCTTATTATTATGAATTATTTACCTTTTATTTAAGATCGGAGTTAACCGTAACCCCGATCTTAACCCTGACCCTGGATCTTCATGAGTCCTGAGACCTTATGTGGAACCATGACTGAAGCTCTGACCCAGAACAGACTGAGACCAGGTCTTTGTCCTCTGTCTGTCTCTGTAGTACCTGCACCGGTTCCAGTGGACTCACCTGAGCGAGCGGCTGGCCTACGAGCAGACGGTCCTCCAGCAGAGACTCAGGACCGAAGTGTCTCAGGCGAAGAGAGAAACCAACTTCTACCTGAACAACGTGGATAAGAGCTCTCACATGGACAACCTGAGGAGGAAGAGACAGAGAGATGGAATACAGGTACTTCTATTTAGTCAAGGGGCTCTAATATCTGTACTTCAGATAGAAAGAGAATAAACAGAACCGTTTGAGAACAGACAGGAAATGGATCCCAGAGGATGTCTAAAGAGTCACATGACCTGTTAAATGTTTGTCGTCAGGTGGACGAGAGGACGTGGGACTTCACTCAGCGTCAGACGGAGGAAGAGATCCAGATGAAGAAGAAGAAGAAGAAGAGAGACTCTGTTACCCAGAAACACCTGGACAAGGCCTGCCTCATACAGCAGAAGAGCCAATCAAACGTCTCACTGCTAGCCAAGATCTTCAACTCCAACCAATCAGTGTGACAGCACAGAGACGGCTCATTGGCTGCTAGACAAGATTGTTTCCATGGAAACAGGAGGCAGATTGTAGTGCACTGGTGATGACATGCCCATCTTCACCAACCAATCACAGGCCAGTCTGAGCAGGGGGCGGAGCCTTCTGAATTCTGTTCCCAACTTAACCAGTTAGTTAAGGCCTTAACGAGCTCATTAACCAGTTAGTTAAGGCCTTAACGAGCTCGTTAACCAGTTAGTTGAGGCCTTAACGAGCTCGTTAACCAGTTAGTTAAGGCCTTAACGAGCTCGTTAACCAGTTAGTTAAGGCCTTAACGAGCTCGTTAACCAGTTAGTTAAGGCCTTAACGAGCTCGTTAACCAATTAGTTAAGGCCTTAACGAGCTCGTTAAGTCGTGTGTGTGTGTGTGTATACACACATATAACATTTATCATGTATTTTATTGCATGAAGCGCTATTGCTTGTATGAAAAGAATAAAGAGTGATATTGACTTATTTTTATGTGTGAAATACATATACTAGTGCTGGGCAAGTCAACGTGTTATTATGGCGTTAACCCATTCATTAATTGACGCCGACAATTATTTTATAGGGCGTTAATGTATTTTTTTATTTTGAAAGTCCGTGGAGGAAGTATAGATAAACAAAAGCAAGACAAGCTAACAGATGCTACAGAGAAGTGGATACAAACTGCAGCCGGTTAGAATACACAGCGTTACAACGTGCACCAGCTGTTGCTCTGCCTGGAGACTACTGGACATCGCTGCGGTCAAGTCAGCAGACACTTACATGTTAGTGCACCTATATGCTGAAATTCACGGTAAACGCATTCAAACGGCACACGTCGGGAGCGAGCGAAGGTTAGCGGAAAGATTAACGTGAGACAACTACCGGTTTCTTCAGATGAACATCTGGTTTTCAGAATAAGATGCCAACAAAGTATGAATTATATTCACATTAAGCATAAAACATGCTGCATCTCGTGAGTTAAAGGGAAAATATACATATGATGTAATATAAGAAATATGATCTCAACTGTGTAAAGAGAATACTGCTGTTAAAACGCACCTGATGTGTTTAAAGTGTTTAAACCAAATGGTATTGACCTTTTGTTCATATAGCAGTACTTTAAAATAAAAGTGCACAATACACTACTTTTGAATTCATTATTGAACTTTGCCATAACAATGAGATTAATCATGATTAATTGCAAAAAATCAATGCGATTATTCGCAATTAAATATTTTAATCGTTGCCCAGCATTAGTCTTTATGTGTGTGTATGTATGCATATACACACACATATATGTATATGTATATATATATATATATATATATATCTATCTATCTATCTATCTATCTATCTATCTATCTATCTATCTATCTATCTATCTATCTAT